AAAATATAAATTATATAAAAAAAGAAATTATTATACATACGTTAAAAGCTTCTAATAGTTTATTTACAAGATTCTATGTAGAATCTTTTCGTGCATCTACAGATTGATTGTAATTAGATATTTAAATATTTATTAAGTAATACTTCAATTTGTTCATATTCCGTTTGTGCAGCTTTTACCTGAAGCTTAAGATTTTCAGAATCTATAAAATTTCTGATTATATTTTGTTTGACGAATTTTACACCAAAGGTCTCCAATGCCTTATCAAATGCAAAAAAAAGACCTTGTTTTTCTTCTGAAATTTTAAAAGATGATATCAATTGTAGTTTTTCTTCTAATTTTAAATATTTTTCAAGAATTCCAATAAAGTGTGCTATTGATTGTGCATAATTTGATTTTCCAGCTGATAGAATAAAAGGAGTAAATGCCGATAAAGTATACCTCTGAATATTAAAGTTTTCAATTCGAATTCCAGCTTTATGCGTAAGACAAAGTTTAGCCTAATGGTAAAACAAATACCAAACTTTAAGTACTTGATATTCTTCAAAATTTTCATCCAATATATTATTCTTATGCAAATTTTTTGATTTTAAATAAATTCATAATGCAATGCCTACTGCAACCCATATAAGCTCTATAGTTTTCACTGTAGATTGATAATCTATTACATTTTCAAATTTATCTAAGAATTTGACATCTATTGTAACACACAAATCAAAGATTCCATAACTTAAAAATATTGTAATAAGAGCTGATGTCATATCTTTATTTGTATGCTACTGTTCAAGTATTAGACGTAGATTTGGCCATTCTTGTCACAAATTTATTAAATATCAGTAAATAGATTCATCAGCAGCAATATCCAAATAATTATCAGAATCCAAAGAAAAATTACTTTTATACATTTTTGCTGATTGATAGATCCCTTCATTATTATTTAGAATTCCACCAGCTTCCAAAATTACCACATGCGAAGAGTGACCAAAACATCTATGAGCTAATTTTTCTAAAATTTTATCATATATTGTAGATGCATCAAAATCCATCATATATTAAAGTTCACCATTTGAATAATAAAAAGCTAAGCATTCATCAAATATTTTATCAAAACAATCCAAAATTTGGTATGTTTCATCATTCATTCCAAAAACTTGATTTGTTACTAATTCATTTTCGTTAATAGGATTAGGTAATTCAGTTTGAAAAGCCATCTGAAGTGTTGTATGTGATGTTTCTTGTATTATGTCAAAAATATTACTATAAGTAAAAGTTTTCTATTTAAAATCTATATTGTTTATAACAGTAAGGTTCCAAATATTTGGATCTTGTTTGAGTCTTTCTGTAGAATTAACTTGATTCATTTTCTTCTTTTCTAATACACGTTCATGATCATTACTATGAAATATAATTTTTAAAACCACAAGAAGTTCTGTTAGGTCTGTTGCCAATTTTGATTTTCTGGTCAAACTAGTTACTGCTTAAGAAAACCAAATTCGAATTGAAGGAAATGCTATAGAAATTAAAATTGAAAGAAACAAGGAAACTATTTTAGTAATTCATGTTGAATCACTGGGTTTAATTTGTTTATTTTTTTGACATTGTTTTTTATTTGCTATTATCATTTTTTTTTGTATATAACATTTAACAGACTATAAAAAAAACCTTTCAACCATATTGGAAAGGCATTTATATAATCATTAAGGGTTAGTGAATTCTGTAATAATTTACGAGATGCATCAAATTCTTTTTGGAATTTCCAAAGCTTGTTAGTAAATATTTCTCCTAAATTTTTGCAATATTGTTTATCCAATTCCTCTAATAAAATAGAATTGCTATTGATTTTTTTTAGTTGAAAAGCAATTCGAAGGTGAAGCAAACTAGGAATAGATAAATCTGATATTTCTACAGTTGATTTTAAAGTAAATGTAGAAGAAGATTTTATATCTTTCAATATTTGAAATATTAAAGATGCAACTGTAAATAAAATTAAACTTTGAATTTTATTTTCATCATATTTTCCCATTGTAATTAACCATTTGTCAATCGTTTTAAGTTGTTCTAAAGTATCGGCTATATGTTATTCATCACAATCCACTGCTTTTTTCCCTTTTTCAGGTTTGATATAAAGGTGTTCACCATTTTGTGTAAAACATGTAGCATATATAAATCGTGGTCTATGTACATTTTCTGAAGCCATTTTACATATATCACCACATTCTTTTAATGCTTTACAATTGATTTGCCTGATGTATAGTGTTAATATTACTCAATCCAAAATATTCTAAGAATGTTGCTCGCAACTTGGTCCCTGTGTAAAATAATAATAATTATGATGGTAAAATAAACATTGCTAATATTGAATGTGACTTTCTTTAATACTTTTATTTGATTTGAATTTTTTATTATGCATTTTTTGGTCAAAATTAAAGTGAGACATACATACTCCCAATCTGGATAGATCAATCAACTTGATTAATAACTTTATTATTAACTTGCCAAAGACCTGTTAATTTGCGTAACCTCTTATTGCAATTTTTTGCACCACATGTTTGAATCTTACTATCGATATTGTCTATTAATACACAGAATGTTAATTTTTTATTGGAATCTGCTTCTATTATTTGTAAAAGTTCATTTTTTTGGTACACTTCCTGTATCCTCTTCTTCAGCATCATTTTGTAGGATAAAATCATCTTGTTCTTTATTCAAAGAACTTAATGCTTGCAAATAACTATCATTATCAAACTTCATTATGAAATCTTCATCATCACTATTTATCTCAAAAAATTTGGAATATGTGTTATCATGTTTATTTTGACAGTTATTCTTTTTTTTGAAATTTAAGAGATAAGGATAGTAGAATAGAAAGGGATAAAGGAAAGTAAGGAAGCAGTTAAAGGTGTAGACGAAACTAAAATCTTAAGGTCAAAACGTTTCGGCTTTCAAGAACTAAAATCCGAAACTTTCTAATAATCCGAAACTAAGACGAAATTGACGAAACTGGCAAAATTGGCAAAACCTTCCGAAACTAGTTAGCCAATCAAAATAAATGCTGATTTAAACCTTTAATACTATTTAAAACT